TTCAGTAGAACACATGTAATTCGATGCAGCAGATCGTCGTGTTTTCAGATCGAACCGTCTGTCCACGTGCTCCAGCATGAGTGAGTGATAAGGCTCATGCGTTGTGTAAAGCTATTAGTTGTCTAGCTGATAGACGGATGTCCATAAAAGGCCGTTTTTACTGTACTTACTGCAAGTGACGATTAGTTGGAGAATTAAGTCGGCTGTGGAAGTTGGATTGCTAATGGACGAGTGAGAATGAAGTACAAGCGAAATCGGGTCGTTAGGTGCTTCATTAAAAAGGCGCGATACCTGAAGTGCTTTATTAAACGAATACAACTTCATCTTGCCTGTCGCATATTGTCTTAACCAACCCGGCCATCAATAACCCTGGATTATATGTCGGTTAGTTAGCGCACCATCAAATTCAGGCTTCCATATTGCACGATCTGTTCTGCTACCTCGTTAGTGTAATAGAAATAATAAATGGCAGAAAGATAACCCTACTCAATGCTTCCGGCAGATTCCATTCAATACCGTCCCCATATGTCTTACCTGTAAAATCCCTGTTAACAGCTCACCGTATTTCAGGAGACCCTCTATTGCATTTTCTCGTGTGGGGCGCATGCTATGGTTGTCTACTGCCATGGTAACACAAAACCTGGTAGGTCTTCCCTGTCGTCCGACAAATTGCTATCTTCAGACATGTGGGCATTTCCACGGTTTAGTAACACCCAACTCACCCATCACTCTCAATAGAATTCCTTGGAATGTAAATTGGATATTTGGCGGGAAAGCAGTCATCATCATTGTGCGTCTGCAATTTCGGCTCTTAGTTTCGTAGCGTCAACGTCATCTGTACTGAAAATGCACTATTCGTGAAATAGTCAATTCAGTTTGAGGGCTTGCACCGCCAGATATTCAATCATCCTGACTAATTAAATCAATTGAAACCGAAGATTGCAACCTTTCAGCCTCTGCCCTGTAATATGTTTCCGAATAGCAAAAGACCCAAATTATGCTGGCTTTTATTCGCCTGACGTTTCGACATCCGTCCCAGATTCATCATCAGAGACATTAGCAGAAAGCGGTAACAGAAACGGGTAATACATGCACAGGAGTTTGCAGTATTTATAGGATGCAGTCAGCTGGCTTTTATCTTTGCCCGATGTGGTCGCATACTAATTAATGACTCGTGCAATCCTGTCTGCTGAGTGTAATTTTTCGCCGCAAGTCTGAGTTTATGACCTGCAGATGTAAATAATGCAAAAACAGCATGGGTCTTCCTCTTTAGATTTCAAGTTGTAACCAATGTTTTTTCTTGCAGGGTATGACCGAAAGGTGTGTTTCGGTTAATAATTCTTTTAAACTACACCCTTTTGATAACGTTGGTGAGAAATATTTAACTAGTCTAATTTTGAGGGTTATAGTTTTACAAGTATGTCATGGAGCGCAGACCTAGGTACGTGATTTTTAACCCTGACAGGACCTACCGCCCACCTTCAAAACTAATCTCCCCCTTATGGACAGTATGACGATTCCAACGCTAGTTTAATTTTCACGTAATTTCGAACACACACACACACCAACAGAATAATACCGGATAGTCGAATAAGGACTTATTGAGCAAGACAGAGACAGCATACAGTGCATATCACCCGAAACTACCAACGTGCTACCGAAAGTTAAGAGTAGAGCCTAAGAAAGGTAGTTTTCTATTTCCGATAGAAGCGAGCAGGCGAGTTGAAAGCGGCAATTTAGAAGTAGATTATGCGATCACTGGACCAAGAAATTTATTCAATATGGAGGACGAAGTCGCGGCAATAAATGACTTGGATGTGTACTGCCGAACCAGCATCGCACCAGTTACGACCCCCAGCTGTGATTACGAGAGCTGCTAATTATTGTGCGCATGCTATCGCGTGACCGCTACGAACTATAAATATTGCGTAATCTGCGCATGTACCGCCCCATTCTGCGGTGATCTCTAGTGAAGGGTTCAATGCAGAATCGGAACCGGCAGGCAAACAAACTTCTTGCTCCACTGATCGAATCTTCTACTTCTGAATTTTCTATACATTTGTTTTCATCTATCACCAACAGGCTGTCTGTGCCTGAAAACCGCAGGCCAAAAGTATACGTACCAGGGACGAATCCTAGCCTGAACCACAAGATGTCAAAAGGATCTATAATATCCGCGCACGCACTGCGCCAAGTCTTCGCATCAAGTCAAAGCTCGGATCATCGACACTCGTTGACGAACGTTCACCGACCGCTAACGGAACTCACTTGTCCCGCTCCGCCTTTTCATTGGGCCTTATTTCTAGGGTCGTGGCGGCAGCTGTAGCAGCGAGAAGTACGGGTAGGTAGTATGGCCGGCAAAGACAAGAGAGACTGACACTCGTTGACGAACGTTCACCGACCACTAAAGGAACTCACTGCAATAATATCTGCCTATATTACTCGCTGCTACGGATGCCGTCAGGATCGGAGAAATGAGGCCCAAGGTAAGGGTGGAGCGGGACAAGTGAGTTCCGTTAGCGGCTGGGGAACGCTCGTCAATATCTCCCGAGCTAAACCGGTAAGACAACGAGCGCGTGACTCAACGATTAGAACGTTTGACTCTGATCAAAAGATGGCGAGTTCCAGTCTCGGGTAGTGCAACATTGGAGTCGGTGTGTGGCTGGCTAACGACGGCTTATAAGCTAGAAATGGCCATTCCAGTCTCCCTTGTCTTTGCAGGCAATAATATCTGCTTTGATCATAGCTATCCACAGGTTCTGATCACGCATGATCTAACCTGCACGATGTACAAATTGTACCTTTCCACGAGCAATTATCTGCGCCAGCGCATCTAAAGGAGGCGATCGGATCTCCCTCCAGCAAAGTATAACAATCACCACCGGTCTAAGATCTGGACTGTGTCGAGCCAGATTTTCAGCTGATTTTGACGTGGATTCCCAAAAAGCGGCGGTGGAACGAGCCGCGATCGAACCTTAGCTACCTGTATTGGGGTAGCCGCCCACTCAAAAAGACGTCAGCTTATTCTATTTGGCAATGTTTCGTAAGCAACAGCAGCCAAAAGACCGAAAATTTCCCCCGTCTTTCACACGTACAGCTTAGTTTTCACGAATGTACAAGACCGAACAAACGCACATCCAGTACACGTGGATAATTGCAACTTGTACTCGTTACGGCTATAATCATTCTTGATTATCCAGCCTCAGTGATTCCACGGACGGTTCCTCTTCACGTGCGATGGCCGTAGTGGATCTGAAAACCCCAAGCATTCTCCGCTCTACCGACGGAGTCCGGAAATCGAAGTTCCAATCATTGTAATGCTGGATCGCAACTGAAGTATCGGCCTTGTCTGTTAAACTGTCCGAATAAATTATCCACGAGAGACGGAAGTCTAATATACAGCTTGGAGGACGAAGATTAACGAAAACATGTCAGCGGGTAGCTGAGGACGACGTGCGACTTTCAGGGCCGACGCCCAAACACGGCCTCGCGGTGAGTAATCTGTCAATCAAAACGGACGGACCAACACAAATGCTTAACAGGTGTGCTGTACAGAAAAC